TTTGCAACAAATCGTAATGCAACACAAAGCATCTGCTCGGATGTAAGAGTACGGCCACGATGGGTGATGTGTCTGATGTATGGGTGGATAAGATTATTGATATATGTTATGGACTCTCTAGACAAACGGTACCGCTCAAATAAAAATACATGTGGATATGACAAAAAATCAACTCGTGGCCTCAATATCCTCTCCCGACGTAAATGCAATTCCCTGCGAATTAATACAGCGTCCTCCTCTACAGGATCCTCTATGAATGGACACGCCATTTTGGTCTCTGCGTGACGGAAACGTGTGCAATCTATGAATGTACTGAAAGATTAAATGAGGTATTAAACACCTTTCACTTTAAAAAGGGGCGGAGACCCGGAGGAAACTCTGAGTTTCCCGAACAAAACCTGCTCGCCAGCAGGTTAGGTTCACAGAGTAATTTGCCATAGTAACTGACTCTGAGTTTAGATTACCTCTCTTTGTGAAACGGGTTTAACTTACCCCGCTTCATGGGTTTAAGTTACCTCCGTTTCTGAAACCGAAAACTCCGAGTTGCCCTCATTTCGGGGTTAACAAACTCTGAGTTTCGACAAAACCGCCTTCTTGAAATAGGCCCCAGGGCATAGTAAAAATGAAACTTTATTCCCAAAAGTGCAAACCCAATGTCAGAACTAGGGGAATTCTTTAAAGAGAACTGAATGGTGCTCTGCAAACTTTGCAGAAGAGAAATGTCATACCAACAGCAGGAAAACATCCTGGACCTGTCTGACCCCAAAACAATGAGCCAGCAGGTATTTATTAACATGAGTTTTGTCTGATCTTATGACAAAATGCTTGAATAAAAGGTTGAAAAGTCAGTGATAGAAGTCATGGGTATTAGTTTTGTTAACTAATTGAAAAAAAAAAACTCTATAGATTCATTAAAAAAATAATCATTAGTTGCAGCCTTAGTGACAAACAACACTGATATCAAACTGTTTTGTATAACCCAACTCGTGCTGGAGGAGCGTGAGAAATAATTATCTACTGTATCTACTGTATTTTTTTTTCCATACATACACTCAGCAAACATATTTTCTTGTCTTTAGAGGGATCATTTAGTTTTGCCATTCATTATAGGCTAGGTAGTCCACTGCAGTAAATAAATAATGTTTATTTATTTGCTTTGTTTCCTTACTAAGCCACAATTGACATGATGTTTTAATTAGTGAGTCTTTGCTGTACAGGAGGTCATTGCAGGTTTGGTATTACATAACATGATAAAAAAATGAGTAAATGTTAAAAGCAAAATATCAATTTACAGTATAGTGAACTGATCCAGGGCCCCAAAATGACACAAATATCATTTATATGTCACACAGGTTCAAATACCCATATGCACACACATGACATGCTCACACAGTGGGCAGACAAAACCTCTGAATAAACACACACCTGTTCAGAAATGGAGACATTTCCTACATTCAGATGTTTTGTTTCTTTATAACTAGAATAGAAATAATTCAGCAGCTGAACTCTCCTCTTTTAGATCAGTCTAGAAGTCTGCTGTGGGTGACTGTACAGTATTGAACTGTTTCTTCATGAAATCCTTTCTAAAGAAATAAAAAAAAATGACATTCACCTTCACAACCATAGTCAACAATTGAAGGGGAGACGTCCATGTTTTTGGTAACAGAGTATCTGAAAACACACAGGCAGAAGGACAAGAGTATGTTCTGTCTTCACAGCAGCACTTTATAGTGAGGATACAGCATTCATAATGTGGGGATAAACAGTGACATATATTAGTTGATCTTGATTTTTATCTGCAAGTAACAGTGATGCTTTTATGATGTCACTGTGTCGAGGAAATCACTAACGACAGGAGACATGTTCTTAATGAAAAACATGTATCACAAAAAAATCCCTCTATCCACAAGGCTGAATAATTGCTGAGGAAGAGGGGCCCTGAATTCAAGATAAATAGAGCTGTTACTGAGGTTTTGTCAGCACACAAAGAAGCTGTTTATAGCACAGAGGCCTCAGATAAAACATTTTCTGGCCAAATAAGGTAAATGAAGCATAATTGGAAGCCCATTACCAAATTGAAAAACAGGTGCCTTTTGTTTTAACTGTGTTAGAATTGAACTGAGGGCAGCTCTCCTACTCTGTAAACCTGCATCAAACTGCAGGGCTCAATAATTATAATGTTCAGGATCCTTCTGAGGGGTGAAGAAAATCAATAGACTAAGGACAAAGAACCTATAGCCATCACTTAATTCTCTTATCACTGTAATTTAGGGGGAAAGGAGGATGTTAAATAACTGTAAATCTTTAGCTATGACTTTGAGGGTGCTTTATGGTAGTTCTTACAGCATCTCCCAGACAGAATGCCCATACCTTCCGCAGACCACACAATTTATAGCTTTATTACCCTTTGTCTTAAAGAGCAGGGAGACATAGCAGGGAGGAAGGAGATAACAGCCAGCGCAGCAGAGGATGGAAAAAAAAAAAGTTGGATGCCATCACTGACAGTGACATATCTCTTTGACAGATTTACGGCTCTGGAACAAGGCTTCTATTTCAGGGCAGTAGATGAAAAAGGGTGGGTGTCCCTCTCCAACCAGCCATCCCTCCCTGAACTCCAACCTGTGCATCTTACACAAATCCCCCACACTGCACCATGTGAAAGCCCTTCCCCTTGTAGAAGGAGCAAAATTCAATTTCTGACCCCCTGATTATCAGATTTACTCCACTGGTCAGTTGCTTGCATACCACTGCTCCCACCTTGCCACCGCACCTTTGTAGAGGTCACAGGGGAGGATTGACAAAGGCACAGGGCTGCAGTGAGGGAGGGATGCAGGGCACTTTTACATCACAGAGTCATGAGTTCCTCTGGATTGGGCAGATGCTTCCTCATATTTTCTTGCTGCACTGACAAGTGGCTTATTGTTTCCCTTGATAAGGGTACAGTGTTCCCGGTAATGGGAATTAGAGGGAGGCGTAAGTCACCGAGACACAGGGTGAGACTGAATCAATAGATAATGGGAGATTTCTCATGGATGCAAAAGGCACACTTATTATCAGTGGTGTTTAAAAGAGCAAGGCCTCTTATTTGTCTTAAAGCTATATTCATGGGCAGAGTGAGGGATTGAAATTAAAGCTACACTTTACTTGAACCCGGTGAAAGCGGTTTCAGTGTTTCCAGTCAAATGTCCCTGACTGGGTTGACTGTTCAGTAACTTGATGATCAAATTTTTTTTTACCTATGCCAGAATTAACAAACACTTATGTGCAGAATGAAGACTATGAGTCACAATGAATGTTAATTTATGTATGATTTCTCAGTGACTGTTTTTTTAACCAATATGACCTTCTCAAAGCAAGCAAGGTGTTTATTTTTGTTTTTTCTTTTCAAGGAATTTCAGTAAAATTAGAAGGCAGGTAGAAAGTGATGTGTTTGGTTCTGATGTTGGATTTCTAAAAAATATTATTAATTTCTGTCACTATGTGCAATGTAGTCACTGCAGGTCTGAACCAAGAAGCAGGTTTAAAATGTCCAAAGCTGTCTGCAGCAATGGGAGCAGTGAACGTGGATCAGAACAGTAAAGTTAAGCAATAAAATCAAAAGAATGAGCTGTAAGAGCTGAAGGAAGCTGAGATGAAATTATCCATGGGTCCCCTACTATGAGTGACATTTTTCACATACATGCAGTCGTTTGATCCACTCATAACAAACAACAAGACACTGAGGGTTAAACCACACCTAACAGTGAGGTGATAACTGGGTTGCAAAAAGCAGGCCAGTTTGTGAACACAGCTGACCCAGTTAGTGACCTAAACAGGGAGAGAGGTTGTATTCTCCTGCTTGATAAGTTATTGTCGGCAGCTGCTCAGATGAGAAATGACCAGTTGCCAGAGCCTCACATTCAACAGCAGACAGGAAGTCAACAAAACAATGGTTTTCTCAAGTGATAAACACAAATGTTTGATGGCTCAGACTTCAAAACCAACAGCAAATCTATAACTGCTTCCTGAAAAAGCAAGCATACAAAAAACAAACCTACTAAAACTTCTGTGACTGCCTCTTCAACCTTTCAAGAAGGAGGCATATAAGAAACTTTAGCAAACAACATAAAATCTACACTTTAGAGTTCATGGAGAGCAGTGAAATTTGAAAACCAGGGAAGCGGTTTAGGACAAAATAAGCAGAATTACATACCCCCAGAGAGTGATTTGTGGTTGTGTATTGAGAATCTTGTCCTGAGCCATTCAACATGGTCAGTGAACAGAGCAGCAGCGAGAGTGTCCTCCTCCTGACAGCTCCCCCTAGGGCCCTGGAATACATTAACTACTGTGGTCCACTGGGGTGCTGGGAATAATTACTCACTCCTGCCATGTGACACCCTCAATAAATTAAACTATGCCTTTAAGTTTTAAAGGCAAATGCATATTGTGGCCATCACTTAGTGGCTGGCTTGTTCGTGCTCGTGCATAATTTCTTGTAACAATACGTTACCACAACTTGGTAGCGTGACCTAGCAGCTGACTACAGATGAGCGAGCAATGAGTGAGCAAGTGAGAGGGAAGAGAGGAATATTTGATTAAAGGCCGTGTGTATGTGTCTTCATCATTAATATATTCTAGTCTACCAAGCTGCAATCTAATTATGAATTATGCCTTCATCTGCCATGAATCATTTCTGCACTTTGTTAGCTAAACTAGGGGAAATAATCCAGACACATCACTGAGAATTCTTTTTTTTTTTATTTGAGAGAGAAAAAGTTATTTGCCTAACACAAAATCATTGTTAAACCCCTGTAGCTAATGACTTTAAGGAAAATGTAATTATGATTTAATAAATGACAATTTAAACCCAAGGAGCTTACACTTTTTGGCAATGGCCATGATCTATAAAACCAGTTTTTCAAACAGCTGCATGTCTAAAAGAAGTAATTACATTCTCTGTAAACACATATAAAACCTAAGCAAACATGTGCCGCAGACGGCTGCAGATTAGGGGTAAGATGAACATGTCATCCCATCCTCACAATGGCACATCTGGAAGATAACTCTGAAAAATACAGCCAGAGATACAGTCTTTCAATAAAAAGTCGCTAAATAAATTTCCACTGTGCGGAAAATACAACAGCGGTGACAACCCAAAGACAGATTCACAGAGCAGCGCTGAGGAGTGTCAACACCTCTACTCAACCAAAACACAATGACCTCAGAAACTAATTATATGGCACACTGAGCTTATAGTGAGATAATTTTAGCTGCTTCAGTATAATATCATCTCATTTATGGAACATTTTAGAATCAAGGAGAAGCCTAACTCAAAATAAGTCAGTCACTTCGTGTTTTTCAGCTACTGTTGTTTGTGTTTTTGCAGCACTGACACGTAACACTGCAGTAACATTTGAGAACACCCATTCTAGGTTTCCAGAGTAGAAAGACATTTAGCTCGAGCCCTCTTTCTCCTCCTCTGTCCAATGAGTAACTTGACAATTTCTGTCCTATTAGACTTCTCGGAGCCAATGTTCTGTCATTATATGAAGAGGCAACCAGCTTCAAACTGAGTGAAACTTTAGAATATATTTCTCTTCTGCGTGAGCTTTTGTCAGCACACAATAGTGATCTTGATGACCAAAATGTACACCAGTGAGACAGAGAGCAGGTGAGTAGGAACACAGGGTAGATACAGAAACTAAATGTAATGCATGAGTTATAACAAGATTAGTGAAATCCCCAGCCAAGGCTTTCACTCCAAGACAGTAACATTAGAGATCATAAGATGCATTAAGAGTCGCTCTGTCATCATGTGATAGAACATGAGCTTTCAGCTGCCGCCATTCATTTTCTAAATGACAGTGAATGCAGTTGAAAGAAGTGGGATCTCTGAATGACCTTAAGTTTTCAACTTAGACGACTTGCATAATATAAATAGAAATCATTTAGTGGAGGATAAGTGTGTCAGGAGATAATGGCTCTACAGGTTCAACATGGTGAAGAGACACTGGCTCTGACTGGAGCTGATGAAATGCAGCAACAACCAGGGAAATCCAGGTGGGTGCAGGTTTATCTGTGTTTGCAAAGATGTAGGCATTGATTTTTAGTGTGTTTTTGTGCAAATGCTTATGTGAATGCAATGGCTGTTTTTTGTGTGTGCATAAATGTACATATCTGCCTGCCAAAGATCTTAGTTTTTTGTTTGTGTTTTTTTTTTTTCAGTTTCATGTCAGGCATCTCGGCCTTGGTGACAGCGTTTCCTGTTTCAGTGGCATGTCTTGAAACACAAAGAAAGAGGCTTTAATAACTCAGTGACTTACTTTGTCTTAGCATATTTAGTAAATTAATGTAAAAACGAATTGCTGTTTGACTGTGTGCATGGAAAACTGGTGCTTTGAGCTCGTACTAATTCTCATACATTTCCATGTGCGAGGGGTTTGTTTAGATCACTTGAGATTCAAATTGTAGCTGTGAAAGTACTAAATCCTTCAAAAATGTCTTTTAAAACTTTACGAATGTTCTCTGTGCCCTGACCAAAACAAAACATGGTGACAGGTACCAGTTTACAACATCCCGCTTTTTATCTCTGAGTCTCTTCAATTTTCCCCCAACAGAGAGAGAGCGAGAGAGGGGGGAGGAGAGGGAGCACAGGGGACCTGAAGTGTGTTTAGGAGGAAGACGGCTGTCAGTAGCTGTCAATCGTCAGCTTTTTTGATGCCATCGTCTTAGCACAGGCCTGTCTGTCTCACAGTGTAACAGCTATCAAAGACACACTCACAGCAAAGACAGGTGCTAGGGTGGAAACGATGAAATCCACACATTCTCTCATTTACACCTGGTATATAAACTTTGTGAAAGCTGGATCTGTGAATTATCAGGAAGCCAGTCATTCTCATCTGGCACTGAAGCAATAAACATGTTGAAGTGATAAAGCAGCGCTGATTGTGCATTGCATATGACTAGTGGTAAATGTTTGGAAAAAAAGATTTCTGCAGACTGCATTCTCCGTCTTTGCTTTTTGTAGTGCTTTTGGTTACACGGTAGTGCTTATTAATAATGTGGGCTTCAATTCAGTGTCTAAAACCTATAGACACAGTTTATCATAGTGAGATTTATCACTGAGTGTCGCGTTAGAACTCATCACTGTAAGTTATATTCTTTGGTTGGATAGCCATCTCTCACTGTGCGCAGATCAACTCATTGGCTGACTTTTGTTTACAAGGTTATTTTAAATTTATTGCTATCCTATTTGTTCATTTTTATGAGTCCTGTTTGTGCTTTGAGATATGAACTGAAATCACAGAATCTTCTGCTGCGCACTGCACCAAAGACCGGGACTGAATTTGGAAAATGGTGTTTAAATATGCTGCTCCTGCTGCCTGAAGTGAACACCAGAAAGACTTCAAATTAGAGGAGAAAGTGACTTTGGCTGAATTTAAAGAACTCATACTTGTTTTTAAGTTATTTTATTTATACCTTTTTAGACACATTCAAATGAGTTATTGTGTGAAAGTGGTTTATGTTTTGTAACCATACTGTCGTTGCTGCTGTCTTGGCTTGGTCTCTCTTGCAAATGAGATTTGGAATCTCAATGATAAATTAGCTTGTTAAAAAAAATTTAAAAGCAAAACATTTACTTAATTAAAGGTTTGTAAGTTGCAATAACTAATACAAGCCAATTTTAATGTTTGCCCCAAAGTAGAAAGCTACCGAACACCACTTGTGTTGCCAGGATGAGCATATGCTTCTCTAGCATAATTTGCTTTGTCTTAGTAGCTGTCTCTTTAATTCATCTAGATACCTCATTAAGACACACAGGGGTTTTATTTTATAACCACTTGATAATCAGCCATCATGTCTGCAGTCATATACTGTACATATATAGGTCATATACTTACATGTGTAGGTAAGTCCACTGCAATAAATAATTTAATCAAATATTCCAAAAAATTTTAATAATATTAGTGCTTTTTCTAAATGAATTATAGAAATACTTTTTATAATTCTAATTTTTTGGGACACAGAGTAGTCATGGAACAGAACATGCCTGTTCCTGGTACAAACAATGGTTCTAATGATCGTCTTTGTTTGCTTTCCTTGGTCATTTTTAGCAGCTCCAAGTGACAAATCATTCTGCACAACAAATTTGACTGGTTAGTCATGCACACAAAGCACTTCAGCGGGGGAAACATTTCAATAGAAAGCAGCGCAGTCGTATATTTCCAAAGGTCGATATCATGATCGATTGGGCGGTGATCTATTAAAAGAAAAACTCCACACTGGTTGCCTTTATTTTCTTATTATTGCCTGCTGCACAACATTTTGAAGAGTGTGCGTCACTGCACGCTGCTTTGGCGATAACATCAATCTGTCCTGTTGTCCTTGGTGGACTGTCTGCTTTTTATTTTGCCTGAGACAGATCACTTTCATGGCCTACAGTTCCCACACCACACCTCTTTTGTGGTCCAAGACAGCATCAGGATGACTGTGTCCAGATGACCAGATCACCACCGGGCGCAGGAGGCGGATGACGAGTTGTTGGCCTCTCCTGTCAAACATGTATGTTCTGTTTGGCTTGTGGCTCTGTCCATTTGGAAGATACACATACAGACAGATAAACAGAAATATGACAGGATTCCTACTCAAGCACACAACTCAATCTCTGCCCTGTGCCTGTGGTGTGTAGCAGCCTCCGGGAAGTCCTGTCAGAGCTTACCATTTGGCCTTAAACCTGTGCTAAACTATTGAGTTTATCATGCATAAAACATTAAGATGTACATCCAAACGGCTGTGGCTGCCTGTTTATTGGCACTCACAGCTCCATAAACCATTTTCATCCCTGGCAGGATGAGACACACATGCTCTGCAGTCCTATTGATGGCATTTAACACAGAATATAAACTATAAAACACAATAATAAACATAAGCAGAGCAAATAAATCAGATTCATAATAACCCGGAGGTGGGATTTATGTAAGCACAGATAGAGTCTTTGTGCAAATTGATGGTACAACCTCTATCAAAGCACCAGTGAGACACTAATATAGTCTTATAAACACACCAGCAACACTCTTAAGTAGCTTCATCTCTTCTCTTTGGCTGGACTAAGTGCTTAAGTAATATATTGCTTTCATAAGTGTGCAACTTTGCAGCACTTTCTTTGGTGGAAATATGTCTACATCCTCTGGGTAGTGTGATTAAGAATAAAATACAAAGAGCATTACAGTGGAATAAATTCAAGCAGTGACATAAAGCCAGAAAGAGCCGCACTAAGCTGAACAGTAGCCGTAGCAGTGCTCTCTCTGAGAGGCCCCTGTGACAA